CTTTGCGCAGCTGCTTCCGTCGTTGTCCGAGGTCGAGTCGGAGGACGCCCGAGGAACCGACGACGGAGCCTACCGACTGGATCGCGCGACCCAACCGGACGACGAGACGGGCGAGGACGACGAGTGGGTGCCACGCCACGCCGAGGTCTGGCGCCGCAGCGCATCCGAGCTCGCCGACTGCGTTGCGGCCGCCTTGGCGAGCAGCCACAGTGGCACGGTGGAACCTGCATCGCCGACCAAGAACCAGCTGCTGGCGAAGCGCATCTTGAAGCCGGACCGCACGATCCCACGGACAAAGCTGCGCTTTCTGCACCGGCGGACGACACGCGTCGCCTTCTCGACCGCGACCATATATGAGTTCGCGCGGACGCTTGGCGGCTGCACGGTGCCCACGCAGGCCGATGGCCCGTCGCTCGGCATGGCCTATCACCACACACATGTGCACGTCGAGTTCGTCTCGGCGCGCGGCCGTAGAGAGGCCCTAACGCCGCTCGCCATTTCCGACCGGTATGGACTGCTTTGGGCGGCGGGCTGCGCCGCCGACGCGATGGACGACGCGTGGGCCGAGACCGAAGCGCTCCATGCACATCGGATGGCCGCGCTCCGAGAACTGGTCGCGGACGAGGACGCGGCGCTGGAGAAAGCGTGGCGCAGGTGGACTGTGCGCCAGTGCATGCTTGCGCACACGACCTCCCACAAGTGGCACAACCGAGTCCGCGTCACGCTCCGCCGTCTCTTTCGCTCGGCGCCATAGGTGCATCGTCCCACGTCACTTGCACGTGGCGCTCATGCTTGCCTTGCCAGCTCGGTCGTTTTAATAGAGACGCCCGTCCCCTCGACGCTGCCATACAGTCGATCGCCACTCGATCGATCAAGGTCGTCCATGAGTCTTCCCAAGACAACGAGTTGACGTGTGCTACATGCACTGCATTTTATGGCAGTGCTGGTTGGAGCTCGTCTTGTTTACTCGGCTACCAAGCCGTTTTTGGTTGCTTTCGAGGGAGGCTTCCATGCCAAAGCTGCGAGTGCGCATGAGCCAACACCACAACTACCGTGCTTCTTCTTAGTCGTTTGTAGAGCGATTCTTAGTGGGGCGCCGTCCTCGATGGCGTGACCTCGGCCTCCGTGACGGAGGCCGTGTCCTTGGCCAACACCGCCTTGGCTTTGATGAGGTTGGTGATTTTCTGCATCTTCTGCACTTTGGTTAGCGTCGTGTTGGCCGACCTTGCGCGCTGGGCCGTGAGGATGTCCCGCAGTGCGTCCAGCTTTTGGTCCAACACCGAGTTGGTCTTGGGTCTACATGCACAGACGGACGAGATGCATTGCGCTCGCTACAGTCGCAAGGCGTACGTGTAGCCGTCGTTGTCGTTGGCCTTCTCCGACTCGGGCGGGCGCAGGCCGAGATGGGCGCACACGAGCTGGTGGGTCGTCGTGGCTTTCTCTTTCTCGTGGACCCAATGCGGCACCTACGCTCGGCCGCTGGCATGGAAAAGAGTCTCGCGCAAGAAGGTCGCATACCGGCCGCGGCACGTCGGGCAGCGCCGGCGCGCCGTGGGCGTGGTGCGAAGCCACTTGCTTCTTGAGCGCCTCGAATTCGAGCTGGCGGTCGCGCGACCTGCGCAGCGAGACGCACCACTCGGGCGCGTCGTCGAAGAAGACCCACTCGTACATGGGGACGACACACAGCATGGCCCTCTCCACGAGCTGCGGAATCTTCCTACCACGATTCTATCAATGTATCAAGCATGCCACGACAGGAGATGGTACCCGCGCTCGGCAAACGCCATGGCGTCGGCTTCGGTGCGAAAGCAGCCGTGGACGGCGAGGACGGGCTCGGTCGCTGCCTTGGGTACGAGCACGATGCTCACGCAGGCAAAGTTGCCGCCGTCGCGGAGCTCGATCGGAATGTGGTCGTCGACAATGTCGTGCAAGTGCACCGAGCGCGCCACCGACTACTCCGATTTCTCAACACGCAGAGCAAGGGTATAGACGCTACCGAAGGGCGCGGACTCTTCTTGACCTCGCTCATGTGGCCACACGTGTCGTGCAGCATCTTTTGAATAGTATCGGCGGTGACGGGCCGCGGCGCGCTGTGCTTGGCACCTAGCACGCGCGATTTCAGCGAGACCGACAGGATGCAAGCAAGGCGCGTATCGTACGCCACGCATCCCAGTCCGTATGCTCGTCGATGACGCGGTGAAGCGCTTGGTCGCAGTAGTACGTCGAGAGGAGGCACTCGAGCGTCGACGGCGCGAGCACATACTTGCCCGTGTCGATGGTGTAGTACCCGATCGCGCGCTCGGCCTTGAATCCTTTGCGCACGTGCTTGGCTTCGTACTCGGCGATTGCAGTGGCCGCGCCATCGGCAGCTTCTTTCGAGGCAAACATTCCCGCGAGCCGGAACGCTGGGCGAGGCGCGACGGGCTGTAGCTCTATCATAACATGATACATGCTCAGTCCATCGTCAAGCAGGAAAGGAGAGACGTTGGTTGGCGACGTTGAGGACGACAATCTGCGGGGCAAACTCGAGAAGCGGTGGAACGCTCACGTTGGCACGTGACGCGCGGGCAGCATGTTGCGACTTCTTGGCCGGCGGCGGACGGGGCGTCAGCGGCGGCGTCAGCGGCGGCGTCGTCATCGAAAAGATATAGTGTTCAGAGAAGTAATCTTTCTCGCTAATGATGCTTTTGACTGCGTCGTTGGGTGTCTCGCCTGCGCATAGCGTCAGAGGGCGAAGGAAGCAGCAATACGTCGTACGGTTTTCGTGCAAGTAGCGCAAGTACGCCGCAGGATTGCCATCCGCGACGCGCAGTGCGCTCTCGAGAGACTCTGTCGCCGTCGCCAGCGCCATGACGTGGCATCGGTCTTCCGTGGCAATGTCCGGGTTGTACTGCGTCGTGTACTTGGCCGTGGTCATGGCCGACGACGGGCTGGACGTCGGCGGCGTCACGAGCAGCAAGTCGTTGCTGTCGAGCAGCGTCATCTTGGGCCGCATCTACGAACCATGGTCTCGCATTGTCGTCGTCGCAAAGAACCTACCGCGATCGGGTTGAGTGACGGCGCCGGGCGGTGGCGCAGGCGCCGCGCCAGCTTTTGCGCATCAATTTCGGTCGCAAGCACTTGCTCTTTATATGCTTTCCACTTGAGCGACTTGTAGAGCTGGTCGAGAACAACCATGGCGGCCTTGTGTGCGCGCGCGTGGCCCCATAGCGTCTCGCGCGCGCCCCGCGAGAGACGGTTAAACACATCGTATTTCGTGAGCACTAGCGCCTACGCGAAGAGAACGTGTACAACGTCGCAAAGGATCCGGATCCAAGGGACATACGTCAATCGGAGTCGTCGCCGTGACCGTGTCGGCGCGGTAAATGACTTCGTTGAAGTTGGTGCCCGTTGCGCTAAATCAACACGGTAACTGTCACAATAAAATGATATGGACTGGTGACGCACGCGTCGTCACCAACAACGTTGTACGGGCCCAAGCGCTCGATGGTCGTCTCGTGCGATGCTTGTGTCTTGGGGTCGACGATCGTGCGCGTCACGACGCACTCGCCCCGCGTCACAAAGTACATTTGCATTGCCTTGTCGCCTAATGAAAAAAAGACTGTAAAAACACACACACACAACAAATGGTGGCCTACCTTGGGCGTACAGGATCGAGTTGGCGGGAAACCGCTGCTCGATGAGCACGTAGCAGATCTCTTCGAGGAGCTCGTTGGTCCACTCGACACTTTGAAACATGGGGATTTTATCGAGGAGTGCGAGGCGCTTGGACATGTCTTCTTTCTGCAATTTGCGCAAAATGTTGTTGTAGTCACGCTCGGCTATGATGAGCAGCTCACACAGCTCTGTGGTGATGACCGTCGCCGAGCGCAGTCCATTGGCTAGTTAGCTGTACATGGGTTGGTTCTCTATATGGCGCGAACCTTTCATAAGCGCGAGCTCGCCAAAGTGGGCGCCGTCGCCGAGGCTGATGAGCTTCGTGAGGCCTTTCCCGCCGCGCCGGTCGACCGAGTTGACCTTGACGTCGACAGACCCCGACATGATGACATAGAAAAGCTTCCCGACTTCGCCTTCGCGGAAGATGGTCGTGTTGGGTCCGACAGTCACGAGCTCAATGACGCTGCAGAGCTCTCGAAGGAACGCTTTCGGGAGCGCGCGGAAGAACTTGATGGTTTCAATGTACGTGGTGAGGAGGGCCGCGTCTGCCTTCGTCCGCAAGTTGGGCTTCTTGCGCAGGACGCGAACGTACGTCTCGTGGCTGTTGGACGCCTAGGTATTGCATAATGCGCTACGTTAGCACATATGGGCTGCTTGTTCTCGCACCGCAGCAGTGATGGCGGGCGCGACTTTTCCCCGGTCAAGAAAGTCTTGCTGGTCCTGCTTGAGCATGACGTTGTAGTCGTCGCGGCAGATGGACACGAGCTCTGTCATTGTCTTGGTGACGACCGTCGCTAGGTTTGAAGTCGATGATATCAGGTGACGTCTCGACAAGGCCTACCAGCGCGTGGCTCGTCGCGCAAGAGACTTCGCTCGCCAAAAAAGTCGCCTGACAATTGCAATAGTTCAACAGGCTAGGGCGCAATCGGAAGGACTACCTTTGTGCAATTCACAAACGACAACTTCGACGACTTCGCCCCCAATCTTTTGGCTCACGCGAACGTCCACGGACCCTAGTTTCGGTAGGTAGAAAAGGGTTCTACGTGCCGTGCAAGATCTACCAGAAAATATGATGTAGAGCGCGTCACCGTCGTCACCCTAATCGCTGTGAGCTCAAGCGCGTGCTGCATGGCGTCGTTGTTGTCTACCTGCTTGAAGACGACTTCGTTGGGGTAGTAGGTGGCGAGCTTCATACGGCGGCAGAGCAGCGTCAGCTACGATGCTCCATCCGATGATCATGTGTCTCGCCACGCTCTTCGTACCTCAAGGGGCTGCAGCGCCTCAAAATCCGTGCACGATTTGAGTTTCGTTTTGAGAAACCACGTTTTGAGCGATTGGAGCTCGAGGTGCGATCGATTCTCGGCGTCCTTTGTAAACGCGGCGCGGCACGCTTCGTCCAGGATCAAGTTGCGCCCATGGTTGGCCGTGAGCGCATCTTGCTTGCGCCGCGCCAGCTCGCCGAGCTACCAGGTGAGACATAGTGTCTTCTCGCCGTTGCTCGCGACCTACGTCATTGTCGGTGCTGATGTCAGGGTGGTCTTCCGTTTCTTGCGTCGCATTGGTTGGCTGTGTGTGGATCGGCAACGCCCACTGCCGCATTGCGTTCGACGGCTCGACGTCTGGGCGCGCCTTGGACTTGACTTTGGCAACCAACGTTTTGAGCCGCGACGACTTGAGCAGCGTCGCAAGGGACGTGACCTCTTTGCTGGCCACCGCGGTCGACGGCGCGTCACCGTCGTTGTCGCCTGCAGCATCGACGACATTTCCGCGAGCCATAAGAACGCAGGGCGACGTACTTTCTGTGCTCGGCGTTGGCTCGCGCTTCTTCTTCTGCACGGCGACCTGGACCACGTGCGACCAAATGTTGGTCGACGGTCGGTGGTTGCCTCGGCGCGCCGTCGTACTTCGCGGCGTGCGCGGCTCCATCTTGGAGCGCAGGAGGATGTTGCGGACGCTCTGCGGCGGCTTCTTCCTTGTGAGAAGCAACGCGTCATCGTGCGGCGCCGACGCGGGCAGCGACGGCAAGATCCCTTGCATCATTATCTATCCATACGAAATCTGATTTGACCCTTGGTGCTAAAAATAGATGCTGCTAAAATCGGCATGGCATGCCGCAAAGAGGGATCTCATCATATTGTTCCCAACGACGCGCCTTTGTATGCGATATGTATCGCAGCAGCACCAGCAGCACAATGTCATGGAGAGGAGATACAATGGTGAGGTAGACATACTGTACTCGATGGTGTCGCGTCGTACCACGCTTGTAGAGTCCATTTTGCCGAATCCAAGAGCATACAAAATGGCACATGCCATGCAGATCGTCTTGTGGATGTGGCATATGCCACATTGGTAGAAAAGCGCTTCAAACGAATTCCAACGGCGAAGGACGCAGATGCAGCGCGGTCAATTGCTTGGCATCGGGATCTTCTCGAGCATCGTCGCCGGTACAGCCAGCATGGGCGTCTGGCAGGTACGGCAAGCGCGATGGTATATGGGATCACGCAAAGTCTCAGTCAACCATGGCGTAGAGCAACCGGTACTTTTGGAAGGTCGACCTTATCGAGACGCGCCGCCAGCGACTGCAAGAAGCGCCCGTGCCATTGCCCAATGACATCGCTGCCGAAAACGTCAAGTATTCTCGCCTTGCCTCTTCCATCGAGGTGGCTCATGCAGTGGTTAGCGCCGAGCTGGAGCACCGGCAGTTGGCTGTCGAGGGCCATTTCGTGCCGGGCAAGACATTCTACCTCTGTACGATCGCACGCACAACAAATACGCGGTGCTCATGTAGCCTAGACCCGCGGTCGCCGCCCATCGACATGTCGGAAAGCAAGGGCAAGGTCTCGTCCGGCGGATTCATCTACGACCTCTTTGAGCGCGCGAACGGGTAGACAGACTTGCCGCTCGTACTGGCGCCTGCAATCATGATCGCATCTAGGACGTCTGTCATTGTCAACCGCGGCTGGCTGCCGAAAGACGAAATGGAAAAGCACATGGCGTTGACGACGTCGCGCCCGCCCGAGGAAGTCAACGCTGCCCCCGCGACGGTGCAGCTCGTTGGTGTCATGGTTCAAGGCGAAGAGGTTCTTCATGCGCTTGCGCGTGTACAGTAGCGTGGACCGCAACGCAATGTCTCGAATAGGAAAAGACCTTCTCGCCGCCCAACGAGCCGACGAAGCGCCACTTTTTCTGGCTCAACCAGCCCGAGCTCGCGCACGCCATGATGGGCAAGACCGAGTACACGCCGATCCTCCTCGAAGAGTTCAACGACGAGCCAACGGCGGCCAAGAACGCGCAGGAGCTTGTGAAGAAGCACAAGGACCAGTACCTCGAGTTCTACATGACGCCGTGGAAGCACGCCATGTACGCAGGCATCTGGTACGGTCTCGTCGTGGTTGATGTTGTTGCCGTAGTCTCTTTCTTGTAGGTTCTCGTTGGCTCTCATGGGCACTGGCATGGTCTTTTACCGCTTTCGCTCCACGGCCGTCGCCAAGAAGGTCGCCACGAAGAAGCTCTAATCCGTTTGGCATCCCGAAATGACCAAAGCGCCGCGTTGCAAGGACAGCGAGCGTTGCGATCTCCATTGACAGCGGCGAATTCGCGTGAAGACAATATTGTCATCCCTTTTACGTTTATGCGGACCAGGGTACCGTAGAAACCTCTGAAAACGCATTGCATCGCGAATCACATGTTTTCAAAGGTTGCTTTTGGCATGACGTCCGTCGCGCAAGGTCGACCAGGCCGGCCGCGCCTCTCCACGAGCGACGCCCGGCGCAAGGCCAGCTCCACGCGCAGTCCATGCGTCATGAACACGTACCGTGAGAAGCTCGCAGTGCTCGAGCACCTCGAAGCCTACGGCATCCAGAAAACGCTGGCCACATACCACGCTGGCCTCGTGGGCAGGGCCCGCGACAGCGCTCGGTCGAGGATATACCACTGGGCGGCGCGAAAGGACGACATCCGCAAGAAGGCGAGCGACCCCGCGACGAGCGAGCTCCGCAATACACGCCCGCGCGGCCTCAGCACGACGCTGCCGCTGGAGGTCGAAGACCGCATCTTGGAGTGGATCGTGGCGCTGCGCAACGACCACATCGACGTGACGCATGCGATGGTGCAGCGCAAGGCCCGCGACGAAGCGGCGGCGCTGGGCCTCAGTGCAAAACAGTTTACAGCGTCCTGGTCGTGGCTCAAGCGCTTCTTGCTCCGGTACAAGATCTACGAGCGCAGCGACGAGAGCTCGGACGACGACGACGACGAAGCCATTCACCATGCGACCAACGTCGCATATGCTTCCTCGCTATGCCAAGCGTCGTCGCAGTCGGCCGCCCTGCCCTATTGACCATCAATATAAAATGCTGCAGGATGATCCCCAAGGCAACGCTTCACGTATCATGTTTGATAGGATGTGGCACATGCCTCGATCCGTGTCGCGGTGCATGCCACGTCAACCGAATAAATGCCACCAATTACAATGTCAATCTAGGCACATGCCATATTAGAGCGGGATATGCCGCATCCTAAAAGGAAATGCCGAATCATTTTGGAACGTGGTGAGATTGCTGCCAGCATGAGCAAGCGCAAGGAGCGCGAAGAGAGCCCGGCGCGCAAGGGTACGCCTCACCGAGACCGCGCAGCCTCATGGACCTCGCATACGTAGAGCACAAGAAGAGCCACAAGAAGCACAAGAAGCACAAGTCGGAGAAGCGAGGTAGTAGCGTGGACGACGCATGCAAGGTCCAGCAGCATCCATCATGCGACGACCATGCGTAGGCGACCACGAGCGCATCTCGCGGGACGACTACTTTGAGAAGGCGCGCGAGTTCCGCGTTTGGCTCAAGACCGAAAAGTCGTTCACGCCTCTGCCTCGTGCGTTGACTTATGCTCGCGTAGGAAGCGCTACTTTGAGGACCTGACCTCGGACGACGCGATGCAGTACTTTGACAAGTTTGCCCGCAGATGGAACGACGGCAAGCTCGACGCAATGTACTACGCGAGCATCCCACAGCACATCCTCGAGAGCGTCAACCGCACCAAGCACAAGTGGGGCTTTCTCAAGAACCTCAACGAGTCGGAGCGCTTGCACTTGGCGAGTACCAAGGACACGGTCGACATTACGACCAACAAGAGCGGCGCGTCGTCCTCGACTGCCCGACCCTCCAAGGCCACGTGTACGACGTCGCTTGACGTCAGAGGAAGTGGTGCTTATTCGTATTGTTGTCGGTCTAGCACCGCCTCGCAGCAGCAAGCAGCAGGACTCGGACTCGGACGATCCGGACGACCGGCGCAAGCGCGACAAGTACGAGCGCAAGCGGTACCACAAGCACAAGGAGTTGGTCATGGAAGAGTTGGCGCCAAAGGCCACCGGCCGGTAGACCACTCGACAGCTTTTTTCTTCGCGAGCTCCAACGTCGGTAGGGATGCGACGGTCGAGAAGAAGCGAGAGAAGGCGGCGACGCTGCATGGCGCGGCGCGTGCGAAGGAGGACGCCAAGGACGGCCTCGACTTGAGCGACGACTTCTTGATGGGCGGCTCGGACGACTTTCACGCACGGTACTTCGGCGCTCGAGCCCACTTCGGTTCTCTCCATGCTCGCTCTGTAGCATCCAGCGGCGAAAGGCGGCGCAGGACAAGCGCCAAGACGAGAAGCAGCAGCGAGTCACGGCCGCGCAGGAGGCCGAGGCTGCGCGCATGCAAAAGTTCCTCCAAGACATGGGTATCCAGCCAGGCCAAGACCGCATCACGATCGCGCCGCGGCAGTAAGACATGCAGAAATGGTGCGAGATAAGGCAAGAACGGAGCATATATTTCCAGGATCCTGCAATATTTAACCGCGCTTGGCAGCCTGCTTCTGCATGTAGGCTTCGCCGCGGAGGCCCGTGAGGACCTTGACGACGTCCTCGATGCCAGCAGGCGACGCGAGCGCCTTGTTCAAGCCTCCATGGCGTCCATCTCGATCGACTCGCAGATGAATTCGGTCTCTTCGACGTCGACACGCGGGTCATCGATAGCTTCGACGAGCTCACGGAAGGTTTCTTGACCTTGCGGAACGCCTTCTTGAGCTTGTCCTTGGCCAACTTGGCGTCGTTCTTGGACTTCTTCTCCGCTTCTTCCTTCTCGGCGATGGCGCGGGCGGCGGCCTCCTCGGCGGCCTTCTGGGCATCGATGATGGCCTGGGCGGCGGCTTCCTTGGCCTTGCGGTCGTTCTCCTTCTTGTCCTTGGCGGCCTGCTTGACGCGGCGAAGGCGCGGGTCGTTCGCCTGCGCGCGGTCCACGAGGTCGGCAAGACGGTTGTATTCCTTCTTCTTGAGCTTCTTGGCCTGCACTTCGTTCTTCTTCATCATGTGACGCTTCTCGTCGCGGCTCTCGACGCTATCCACGTCGTGCTCGGCGTTGTGCGTAAAGTCGCGCCACGAGTCAAACGTGTGCCAAAAGTTGTAGAACGACTGGACCGTGTCGAGGTCCGTCTCGTCGTCGCCGAGCGCCGGCACGGGCGTAATGTTGGAGAAGCGCGCGTTGCGCTCAAACACGGGGCCATAGAGCGCGTAGAAATCGACGACCTTGGCCTTCGGGTCGACCGGCCCGTCATGTTCTGCTTGATCTTCTCGTTGCCGGTCGGGATCGACTCGTCAAATTCGCACTGCGAGTCGTACGCGCGCTTCTTTTGCGGGTCCATGAGCGTCGCAAAAGCCTTCTGCACGGCGAGGTAGTTCGGGTCGTTCTCGTCCTTGAGCGTCTTATCCGGGTGGTGCTCAATAAGCACGCGGTGGTACGCCTTCTTGATCTGGTCGGGCGTCGCGTCGAACATGACGTCGGTCAGGCCGAGCTGCTGGTACATGGTCAAGTTGATAAAGTTCTTGCCCTTGATCGACTTGCGGTACTTGGCCAAGATGGCCTCTTCCTTGAGCTTGGCCTCGGCGCGCGCGTCGTGCTCGCCGTTCGACTCCATCGAGAGCGAGCGGCCGCGGGCCGCGTTGCGCACGCGCTTGTGCAGCGAGCGGCCGGCGATCTCGACGCGCTTGAGGTGCGGGTAGCCGCCGAGGCCGAGGACGGCCGCGTCCTTGGCAGGCGTCGCGGGGGAGGGGGCAGCGCAAGCATCTTGTGAATTCACGAATGTCCACCCACGCGATCAGTGGCCAAGAGCCTTGGGTCGGTATGTATTTATAGAGGTTTTCCAGCGCGTCCATTGCTCGTCTGGTACGTGTATACTCAATGTATGTAGCGCAATGTACCTATTGTACGTACGATACAATGTACGTAAGATGGGATGTATTTTTAGAATCTTAAATGGGGGCGGACGATCTTGGATGGTCGCGTTCGCCGGCAAAAACACTGTTTGCGTCGTACACTGGAAGGCGGATCCCATATTGCCTTTGGACCGCCAGACGTACAATACATGTTGGGAAACCAGTCTCTGGCATGGACTATTGGTCGTCTGGCATGGACTGTTGGTCGTTTGACATGGGCTGTTGGTCGTCTAGCGTATGGTAGACTCGTGGCGGCTTACGATGGGAGCTTCGACTTGGACTGAAGTGGCGCGAGGCGGGTGTCTTTGGGGACGCTGGTTGCGCGTGGCGGCATCATGCGCAGCACTTTCTCTTCAAATGTCGTCGGCGCTGGTACGTCGGTTGTCGACTGGAGAAGGCCCGCGGGGATCCAATCGTACTGCAAATCGTAGTGCCGCTTGAGCAGTCGGCTTTGCGGGCGAAGGTTGTCGGTGTGCATATGGTCGGTGACGTGTATGGGTACGGCGACCCAGCACGCATGCGGACGCACGGGCTTTGGTAGCCTACATCATCGATACTGCCCATGAACTCGCGACGAGTCGTTGAATCGCACCGCGTCCACTTTGGCACCGAGAGCTTTGCGACGAGGGGGCTCTCGGGGGGCGTCTGTGTCGGCAGCGGGTGGAGTGTCTTGTGTCGCGGCAAGAGTCGCCGTGGCTTTGTGTGGGGCGACGGTACAAAGTCGTCGCGTGCCCACGCGCGCTTGATGCTCTCGAGTCGCTTTGCGTTCGCGGCCGCTAACCACTTTGTTGATTCCTTTTGCTGGCACGTTGTTCAAGAGGGACGTACGTGCCAGCAGCGCACGGCGCTTGGCCAGCCGCGCAACTTCGCGTGCGGCTGCGCGCTGCTCCTTGTGCACGCACCGGCGTCGGACGCGGGCGCGTTTTCGCCCCCTGTGCCCGCGCCAGACCCGCTGAATCGTTCGTGCTGCCATGCGCCTGCAGCCTTGGGCGAGGACATCTGCGACGAGACCCGGCACAAGCCGAGCGCAGAGCATGCGCTCGACGACGTTTCGAAGCGTTGCGAGGATGCGCGTCTTGTCGCGGCGGCGCTTGTGTAGCCGCCACGCATGGGATCGCCAGGCGTGCTGGATGCAACGCGCTGCGGCTTGTTGCCGGCGGTCCGCGGCCACCTTGGCTTTCCAAAGTACGGTTTGCACGGTGACGTCGAGGATCGCGAGCGCTTCGTGCACCGAGTAGTCGTGCACGAGCTGCTTGCGCCGGTACAGCTTGGCGACGTTGGCACGCGCGAGGGCCGCCCACGCCCGCAGTTGGCCCTCGATATCAAAGGCATCGCGTGCCTCGATGCTCCTACTCTCCATCCGTTAAACACACAGCAAGTAACTCGGCTGTAAATTGCCCTACTTGGTTGACGGCGGCGGCGGACGCGTGAACCAGAGTCGCTTGGCGATCGCTTGCATCTTGTCGGCGACGCCAAACGGGTCGTTGGGGAGATTTTGGAGCAGCTTTGAGAGCATTTGTGTGGGTTTTTGTAGCGCAAACGGCAATTCAAAGCGCTTCTTGCGCGGGGGCTTGGGCAACGTGGCTGGTGCCACTGCCCGTGTGTTGATTGCCACTGCCGTTGGGATAGGGATCGACGACGGAAATTTAAAGGCGCGCGTTGCGAGCACCTGCACCTTGGAGAAGAGCCCCAGTCGGAGAACGTGGCTGCTCGCGGGCGTGTCGACATCAGTCGTCTTTAGGGATCTATCGTCCTCCTTGGTCCCATGGCGGAGCCATTTGCGCATGCTGTCCTGTAACTGGTAGCCGTTGCAGATCTTTTGGCCTCTTTCACCAAGCATTTTGTCTAGTTGTTGAGCAAGATGTCGACTTTAGTCGATCGAACCTCGGTACAGCCAAGCATGGTAAGCAGTAGAACCACTTACACAGTGCACGAATGCGCCAATTGGTTGACATGCGAGCCGCCTTGAAGGCCGATGACCATCCCTTGTCTGTCAGAGTTCGTCGCATCATCATTCAAGGCAGCATTCTCGTGACAACCAGCTCGATCGACTTCGTCGACATACCATGTATCATCTGTGGAGCTAGCGTGCTTGGCACGGCTCATCGTCAGCACCCAGGAAAAGTGCTTGGACGCGTCAAACCGTGAATGCATCGAAGCGCGCTTCGCAGCGCTCGATTGGCGCTCGGTTGCGCTTTTTACATACCAGCTCATCGTGGGAGAGCGTTATCCGGATGACTGCGGATGGCCGCGGCAATTTGAATAATCGAATCGCATGCGAGGAGTGACGCCGATCCTGCTCTCGACGCTGCAGTCGCTCCTGCTACCAGCGACGGGCGGGCGGCCGCCCAACAGCTTCGGCCCGAGCCTCATGCTCGTGGCGCAGACGAGCTCGGCCAACGACGCGATCCTGCTCAGCGACGGGCGCCACTCGGTCTGGTGCATTTTGCAGCGCGGTGTCCTCGCCAGCCTCCAGGACGAGTTCCCGCACATCGAGACGGTCCATGGCCTCCACGGCTTCACGATCCGCGTGCCCAAGTTCCGCTATGACACGCCATGGCGCCATATGAAGCGAGCCATCGGCGCCATCACGGCGTCGCGCGTGTGCATTGTCGTCGACGCGCTCGATGTTGTCGACGCGACCCACGTGCACGTGCCCGAGACGCTGCTCGTGACGCGGGATCCGTCGCTTCTTGCGGTCCTCAGCTCGATGATGGTTGCACAGCTCGAAGCACGACTGCTCGCCGAGAGCGCTGTCCCGCATGCGTTCCAGATTGAGGCACTCCGTGTGACCGACTGCATCATTCCACCCGACCAGGCTCAAAAGCTCCACGAGTCGGCGCCCTTGGCGTGCGCCAACCAGGACATTGAGACCAATTTCATTCCTGTCGAGAGCGACGACGACGATGAGAGCCAAGACATCGTGTCCTCGCAGGTCGCGCCGAGCCAGGCAACAAATCGAGCCAATGAGACCCAGCGACACGCAGCCGACCAAGCGCCGGAGCCCGCTGCGCCACGTCTGTCCACGCCTGCTTCGTCATCAGTACCAACGACGACGCACGTGGCACCAGTATCGGCCTCGACACGGGCAACCGCGCCACTTGCTGCCGTAGCTCCGACAACTGGCAACGGCGCGAGCGCCCGGCCATTACCCTCGACCGCGCAACTCGAATCCAGCCCCCAGCGCCGTGTCGAGAACTCACCGGATTCCGCCCGTCGTCTCGAGCCGTCGAAAGCTTCGCCGCAGCGCCGAAAGCGAGCCGCGTCACCTGCCGCGGACTCATCGGCGCGAAAGCGAGCTCAGTCACAGGCGACGACGACGTCACCGGTCACCGGCCGCCGTAGCACGCACGACGCACCGTCACCTGTGACCGACGCACCGTCACCTGTGCTGCGCCAAACGTCCAGCGTATCTGGTTTTGTGTTTCCTCCGTCGCATCGTCCTGCGGGCCAAGCAACCAGCTCGATCCTCGACACGACGACCGCTGCGTTGTCGGCCAACACCGACACTGTCGCCCGCTGCACGACACCGCATAGCTCGCCGAATCGGACCCAAGCGTCGACAATCCCAGAAGTTTTATCGCGGTTGCCGCCGCGCATGCGCGAGCCATCCGCGCCAGCGTCGCCGTCGCTTTCGCACGTGCTCTCTCGCCTCCCGTCCAAGCCGTCGCCGATCAAATCGACCAAGGCACCGGCGCGAACACTCGAGAGTCGAGACGATGGCGCCATCGCTTGCATCGACTTGACGCAAGACGACATTGAAGATGACGACGACGTGGTTTGCGCCACAAAACGCAAGCCGCCGAGTCCGTCTCTTTGGCCCGAGGCGTCGCAGCAGCCCATTGCAATCGTCGACGAGGACGACGACGAGACGCAGATGCCGCCGTCGTCGCCGCGTCGCCAGGATGAAGCGCAAGACACGCGCCACAGCCGAGACACGGGGCGAGATTTGTTTGTGATGGACTTTGGCGGTCCGCAGACGCAGTATTTCAACAGCCAAGAGACCGCCGACGACGACGCCGATAGCCAAGCGACCGTCTCGTCGCCCGACTCGGACAGGGAAAATGACGTCGGTGCGGCCATGGACAACGGGCTTTGGCTCACACAACCCATGACAGAGCCGTCACACAGCATCGAACCGGTACTGGCGAGCCAAGCGAGTGGGCCACACCGCGCCCAAGCGAACGCGTCCCGGCCCGACCAAGTCCAGGAGCGTGCAGCCGACGACCAAGCCCCGGCTTCCTCCGACGTGGTGTCGGCACCCTCGACCAGTGCACCGGCGGATGTCGCAGCCCCGGACGCGCCACGCTCCACCCCAACCGCAGTGCCCGATGCTGCTACTGCTGCTCCCGAGGCATCGCAGACCGGGCTGGCGACCGATGCGCCGGTGGCGAATAGTGGCGCCATCGAGACGCAGGCAAACGACCGTGCCGAGTCCCGGCCACAGCAGCCTCGTCCAGCCAAAGTCGCGAGACGTGCAGCCGTTCGTTGTTTGTGTGAACCCACTCCTGTGGTGCCGCCGCCGTACTCGTCGTTCCGATACGTCTGGGGCAACGGTCGCTTGAGTGTCGTGGCTGTCCCCCGGCCGCCGCAAGAGTTTGAAGCCGAGCTCCGCCGGCACTTTGCGACGTCGGCCCAGCGCCGCACCGGGACATGAGCGCCGTCTAGATGTGTGTCCGCCGATGTACTTGCAAATAGTAAACAGATGCCACCTCACACAACACGCTTCATTTTCAACGAATAAATGCACTGGAGCAAGGTCGCCTCGATAATCGAGTCTCTTCTCCTGGCTCCACTTGGTACTATATCACCACGCACCCCATGGCGTCGTATACAGATTCGCCAAAGCTCCCACATGCGCTTGATCACGGTAGCGATCGGCTCGCCTCCAAGAACGCCCCCTTTAAGTATCGCACTCTCAACTCTGCACCCGATTGCCTCCTTGCTCATACCTCGTCGGTTGAGCGCACCATTGGCTGCAAGCCTTCTGCTACTGCATTAGTCCTTCACGGTGGGCCGCCTTTAACGGTTGAACACCAAACCACGGATGCAAGCGGCTGTGCGATGTGCCTCGGTGTACCTGGACGTCCTCTTCCTGCAAGTTCCCAAAGCAGGTCGTGAGCCCCCACAGGATCGGCACCAATCGACCATATATTGTCTTGATTGAGCACCCGCTCGAGGTGTATTCCCTCCACCGCCATTCAGCACGGCTCTCGCGAGCCTGCTGGGGTCATGCAACCTCACCGACAAAGGGGAGGGATTTCGCAGAGCAAGCCGCCCGTCGAGCGGTCGCACAGCCACGGTAGAAAAGACATGGGGGATCTGATACTGAGTTTGGCCACATCTGAGTTGAGGCCACTGTGGCGATTCTGGTCGCGTGCACTTTCAAATCGCATACCCTTCTATATCTTTTCACGACAACTTTACGTTAAGGTGTGTTCGATCTCTATCAATACATAGCCTGCCGCATGTGATATTTAGAGCGGTTGAGATGCATCCGCGTTGCACCTCCGTTTACACGTTCCGTCAACGCATTACTGTCGCACAAAAGCAGCAGCTATCAACTCAAGGCCGAACGATCCGACGGCGCGCAGCGTGTCGACATCGATCTCCCTATTTCAATCGAAACGAAGAGTCGTCGATTTATTCCCATTCGCATTGAAATGTACCGAGGTCTCGGCTCGAACTCACGACTCCAAACTACTAATCCATGGTCGAATTCTAGTACCATAGATGCCAACTGCGAATGTCGATGCTGTGCAATTGTGGTCGTGCCACATGTTTGAAATCAGATGCAAATCAATCTCCAAATCAGACGGTCAAACGCCCCAGAAATCAGACGAGCTCCGGCCACTATGAAGCGCAGTCGAACCACGCTGCAGTCCTAGATGATTATGAAAAGGGATCTTGGTCGGTTGCCAAGTGACCCAACAGCTCCCTTTTTGCAGCGATGCTCGCCAAGCAAAGAGTGGTATTAGTCCGTTCGGGCGATAACATCAATCGTGATCGTTCGCATTGGCGACCGACTAGCGATTTTACTGCCCACTTGCTATCGAGACAGCAGACGCTTTCAGGGCCCTCTTCACGCTTGCAGCAACGAATGGGCCAAGTCGACATTGCGTAGAATGCGCTGTTTACTAAAACATTGCTAAAGTTTTGTATCTAGCAAGCAGCCATGCTTGTCCCCGGTTCTCAGACGCACCATACGTCGTTGTGTGCTCAGTTTTGGT